TTAACAGGCACGTCGATATGATACACGTACAACAATTTTTTCTCCTGAGGGTCGTCTTTACCAAGTTGAATATGCAATGGAAGCTATCAGCCATGCAGGTACTTGCTTAGGCATCTTAGCAAGTGATGGTATTCTGCTTGTAGCAGAGAGACGCAATATAAATAAACTGTTAGATGAAGTTTATTATTCTGAAAAGATTTACAAACTCAATGAAGACATTGTATGTTCTGTTGCTGGTATCACTTCTGATGCTAATGTCTTAACAAATGAATTGCGTCTTATCGCGCAACGTTACTTGCTGAAATATGGAGAACCAATTCCTTGTGAACAACTTGTTTCTTGGCTTTGTGATATAAAACAAGCATATACACAGTATGGTGGAAAAAGGCCTTTTGGTGTTTCTATTCTGTACATGGGATGGGATAAGCATTATGGATATCAACTGTATCAATCAGATCCAAGTGGAAATTATGGAGGATGGAAAGCAACTTGCATTGGACATAATTCTGCTGCTGCTGTATCATCATTAAAGCAGGAATATGATAATAATAATATTACATTAGATGAAGCCAAAGCATTAGCTATAAAAGTGCTTTCCAAGACTTTAGATCTCAATAAATTATCAGGAGATAAAGGTATATGTACTTCATTTGTTATTTACAATTTTATAAGGACAGAGTTTGCAACAAAAGTTGAAATAATTTCAATCTGAGAAAAGCTACATCTAATATATGATCAATTATATTTTAACTCTTGTTTGTTTTATTTTAGTGGAGATGGTTACCCTAACAAGAGAAAATGATAAAACTGTTACAAGGATTCTTCCTACGAGTGAAGTTGATGCTTTAATTGCAAAGCACGATCGTTCAGAAGCAGTTGCTGAACAAGCCAAGAAAGAAAAGCAAAAGTTGTAGAAGAAAATATATATGTGTATATCTTGCTTTTTCTCTTATATTTTCTTGTTTAATAACATTACTTTGGAATTCTGTGAATTTTCTTATACAATTTTTGATTCCTACACTAAATATAAAGTTAATGCTCTTTTATATAGAACATTCAATACTGAAGAGAAAATATAACAGGAAGCAGATATAAGGAAATAACGAGTAATAATGTAAAAATAAATAAGATTTTCTATATGTTTTCACAAGTGCATCTCTTTGTTAAAATTTTTATTTAGCTCATCAATTCAACATTTTTCCTTAAGTCAGTATCAAGGGATAAATAAATTATATTTTAAATGATTAAATACTGTAAACTGCAAAAACATTATGTGACTTGTTTTTAAACATACACATAACATTAGAAATATAAGAACAAAATATAAATATTTATACAATTTCATCCTTTATTTTCAC